CGTAAAGAATGCAGTGTCGGATATGCACCTTATCTATTGCCATTTTCGACTGTACTGAACTGAATACTTTTGAAGGTTACGTTGGGCCTTTCGCCAAACTATATGTTCTTTTTAATAGTTATATGTCAACATTGTATAAACACAAAAGAGCGGGAAAATCTATTCAATTTAAAATTGATTTTATAACTGCTTAAAATAATTTGGATTATTCATTTGTACACCTAATACTTGATTATTAGCTTTGATTGTATTGCATATTCGATAAGAAATAACTTATAATTCTTACGCAAAAACAATTTTCACGCTTATCGTTAATTTATAGTGGATTCCCGATTTTCCTTCAATCTGCAGCTTTTACATTATTCCATTATTTTCCAGGAATAAGTCTCTCAAGATAATATAAAATATTTCTCGTTGAAAAGTATATATAGTAGTCTTTATGTACAAAATGTTTTTCATTTTGACAATTCAATTGCTCAGTATATTTTTGCGTTTTGTTAAGCCATATATGTATAACAAATGCGTTGCAATCCAGTGGCTCATTACTTCAAATTACTTTTCTCTCGTGCATATTCAGCAATGTACTATGTGCGATATTCTGCTAGTAATTGTTTTCTTTAGGCACATATGGGTGTCTAGATCCCGGGTGGTGTCTTATAACATTACTAAAATTAAGGTAATAAAAAGGCGATTCATCCGCACACGTTTTTATAATGAATTACTTATTGCTCCGCTGGCATAGCAGCCTTTATATATTTATTTATTTATATACATCTATATACATATCTACACATATATATAATCGTTTCAAAGGCCATCGGGCGGGGCTTATTTGTGCACGTTTATGTGACACGTCCATGTTAATCCTGACAATTGCAAGAAACTCGAGTATGTTCCTTCGACCGTTGACGAAGGTGGATCATCGACTTGTGAACTAAAGGAAACATAAAGTTATCTGGAAAAGATAGTGAATCGCGTTAGTGACTGACCTGAAATCAATCATTCTCGCATAGATAGGGAAATATAATTCGTTTTGTGCTATTTATATATTAATTTAGTATAGAATTTAGTGTACAAATATGGAGAAATGAAAAAGAAGGTGTAATTAATATTAGAATTACTACTGCCTCAATTAACGATGCCTGAGAACGAATAAGCAAGTTATCGGTTGAATGAATGTGAAATAATTGGTACCGTGAAGAAAAATGAAAATTATGTTAACGAATTCGTCAATGTATTGAGCGAAACGTCTATCCCCAGACGCAGTAGCACTGCTATTACAATCTGCACGAAAATAAGAAGGTACGACTACTTCGCTTCTACAAATATTAACCGCCAACCTGAGTTTGAGTGTATCAAATGTTCGATCAGCCGAAAACTAAAAACGAAGATTTTTTGTCCGAGTAAATTACAACTGAGAAATATCGGACGTTAAATATCTGACGAGATGAAGCTATTTGCAAGTCCTAAATGCTTTTCCGAGATTATAGCACCGGTGACAACTGTCAACTGTATAGTAGGACTTCGCGCTTTCGAATATCCTCGTGGTAATACGAGACCTATACTCAGTCTGATTTATCTCGCGTTTATTTACATCACATTTTGTTGTGGAAAATTACGCATGTACCAAAGATTCTATGCGGGCCTTAAACTGATGAAACTGGAATGTGCTATATTGAAATTATTCTTGTATATCCTTCTAGTATCTGTGATATTGAAAATGCTACTAGGTTGGTGGCACACAAAGGTGAGCAAAATTAATGTGCGATACATTATAGTTGTACTGTACTGCATTCATGGTATACAAGTCATAAAATACAATTTCAGAACTATATCATGCGTATAAATTGTAAGTTTATCACATTGTAAATTTACATTTGTAGAAATTTAAAGTTTGTCTCAAGAAGATCTTTGAGATCGATGAAACGTTGCAACAGCTCGGACTGACGGTGAATTATGACAGATTATTCTTCGTTATGATTGGAATCATAACTGTTTTGATAACGTTTTTTTTCGTTGTGTGGACAATGATGTTCATTCACTTGAACATAATCACGGATGTATTTACTTCAATTTATCTTCTACTCATACACACGTATTCGTTCATCGTCAGCTCTATTAATATATTCGAATTCTTCATATTTGCGAAGTATGTAAATAAACTTTTTAATAATCAAGAAATTTTTGTATTTATTAGATTAGTATTCATAAAATTAATAAGTGAAAAATTAATAGTCACTATTGTCTTGCTTAACTTATTATACATAATATCACCATTGAAAGTATGTTATAACAATAATTTTATGTAATTTTGTTTTATATTATTAAATAATACTTTCTGATTTAAATTAGATTATAGATATTAGAGTTCTAAAATACATGTTATAATATTAATATGCTTCTATACAATAATGCAGATGCTTACAAATGAAATTTAAATTGGTCAACCAACTCTTGCGCGAAAGCTTAAGCTTAACAGATTTATCCAAGAAAGATAAGAAATTAGGCATCTTTGAAATGAAAGATTATGAGAGGATCATAGATGTCGAGCAACAAAAGCAAGTTTTTTCCACAAAGATGATATTCCGAAGGCGTCAGCGAGTGCAGACCGGAATTAATTTTTCTATATTGAAAAAGCGAAATCCGGTCGTATTTCAAACTGAATCTCACTTTCCATCTCATGTCACAAATCATTTTCAAAGCGTACTCCAGAATCCACCTCGAAGACACAATTCCACAATAACAAAATATCAAAAACGTAAACATCTTTTACAAGTAATCAGGTGAGTACAGGCCATAATTATTAAGTACGTTGTTACAAAGTGAACTCTGTAAAATAAAAATCTGTATATTACATATAAAATATAAAATATTTAGATAGATATTTATTTGGCATTTTTCTTAAGTAAAAATTTATTTACTTCAGTTTTGCTGTTAACGTATTAAAAATTTGTAATTTTGTATAAATGCTTAAAATATTTAAGTCAAATTTCCTAAAAAATATTGAGAAACACAAGACACCATTCAATAAAAATATTTCTGATTATCTTTGAGTGTTTTTAAGGCAGGTACACCTGAAACTGTGTAAAGTAACAAAAATAGTATGCAGTATTCTTGGAGTACAAATAGCTTGGGACATAGGAGTAATTATGATAACCCTCACTGGGTATCTTTATAATTTGTATACTCACTACATTATGAGCAAATGCGAAGTAAAATATTGGGCAAGGCCAACGGTTGAGACGTTATCATTGTGTTCTTGGCACATTATAAAAATCTTTATTTTGAACCTCGTTTGCAAGAATGCAGCTGATGAGGTAACTGGTTTATAATCCATAATCGAATTAACGGTCTTGATACAATAACTTTTACATAACATTTATTTATAGGGAAACAGAACCGCTGAAATAATTCATTCGATTTATGGTTGCAATACAGATATTGATATAAAGGAAGAAGTTCGTTTTTTTCAATACATTATCATATAGTTGCTGCTATATATTATCTAATTATCGCTTGAAATTGTTTCAGATTCAACAGTTTGACCTTCAAATTTTGCAAAGCCCAGTGACATTTTCTGCGTTTAGTCTTACTCTGGACAATCGTGTCTTAAGCATGGTTCGTATCAAATTGTTACATACGGGTGATTGTCTTTATATCGACCATTTTGACAAATACGACAAAGTTTACAATTAAAAACGCTAAATAATGTTCTCTTTGCACTTTTTATAAATTGTGTGGAAGTAAGTTTTATAAATTTACCCCGATCATATAATAAATGCAGTACATTTAACTTTTCTTGTTTATAGATTTTGAAAATCTTGACGACCTACATGGTTATCTTGACACAAATGGGCAATGAATTGGAATCGAATAATGCTATACATTATTGACAATTTTAAATAATGGTAGATATTAAATAACTCATTCATCCCAATGGCGCTACTGCCCAGATTCAGTCTTCACCTCCTCAAAGTTCTCATTCTCTAAATAACCCTTTTATATATGTTAACATCCTCCAGTTCACATGAAGCATATTCCTGGTATCTCTGTCAATATCATTTTTCTACCGTGTGATCTTGACTTCTCCACAGGTTTTCCACCTCCTGGAAGATTTCCACGAAACTTTTAGGAAATTCTTCCTTCTTTGCTGCATAAGTCCCACCCCATTAACCTTCTGCCACTTTGTACTTAACTAATCTGAATAGATTTCTACATTTAGGCAAAGGTTAACACTTTTCAGGCAACGTTATTCTTTATTATTCGAGTTCGTATTTTATGAAATACGTGAACAATAGGAAGTATAAAGCAGACGAATGACAATATGAGTAAATAATCAAACGGTAAACTTTATTTTGATGTATATTAATTTCGAAAACAAGCCAGATGAAACGAATATAATTACTTGATTATTAGCTTCGATTGTATTGCATATTCGATAAGAAATAAATTATAATTCTTACGCAAAAACAATTTTCACGCTTATCGTTAATTTATAGTGGATTCCCGATTTTCCTTCAATCTGCTTTTACATTATTCCATTATTTTCCAGGAATAAGTCTCTCAAGATAATATAAAATATTTCTCGTTGAAAAAAAAGTATATATAGTAGTCTTTATGTACAAGTTTCAATGTTTTTCATTTTAACAATTGGTCAGTATATTTTTGCGTTTTGTTAAGCCATATATGTATAACAAATGCGTTGCAATCCAGTGGCTCATTACTTCAAATTACTTTTCTCTCGTGCAGCGTCTGCATATTCAGTAATGTACTATGCGCGATATTCTGCTAGTAATTGTTTTCTTTGAGCATATATGGGTGTCTAGATCCCGGGTGGTGTCTTATAACATTACTAGAATTAAGGTAATAAAAAGGCGACTCTTCCGCACACGTTTTTACAATGAATTACTTATTGCTCCGCTGGCATAGCAGCCTTTATATATTTATTTATTTATATACATATATATACATATCTACACATATATATATATAATCGTTTCAAAGGCCATCGGGCGGGGCTTATTTGTGCACGTTTATGTGACACGTACATGTTAAACCTGACAATTGCAAGAAACTCGAGTATGTTCCTTCGACCATTGACGAAGGTGGATCATCGACTTGTGAACTAAAGGAAACATAAAGTTATCTGGAAAAGATAGTGAATCGCGTTAGTGACTGACCTGACATCAATCATTCTCGCATAGATAGGGAAATATAATTCGTTTTGTGCTATTTATATGTTAATTTAGTATAGAATTTAGTGTACAAATATGGAGAAATGAAAAAGAAGGTGTAATTAATATTAGAATTACTACAGCCTCAATTAACGATGCCTGAGAACAAATAAGCAAGTTATCGGTTGAATGAATGTGAAATAATTGGTACCGTGAAGAAAAATGAAAATTACGTTAACGAATTCGTCAATGTATTGAGCGAAACGTCTATCCCCAGACGCAGTAGCACTGCTATTACAATCTGCACGAAAATAAGAAGGTACGACTACTTCGCTTCTATAAATATTAACCGCCAACCTGAGTTTGAGTGTATCAAATGTCGATCAGCCGAAAACTAAAAACGAAGATTATTTGTCCGAGTAAATTACAATTGAGAAATATCGGACGTTAAATATCTGACGAGATGAAGCTATTTGCACGTCCTAAATGCTTTTCCGAGGCTATAGCACCGATGACAACTGTCAACTGTATAGTGGGACTTCGCGCTTTCGAATATCCTCGTGGTAATCCGAGACCTATACTCAGTCTGATTTATTTCTCGTTTATTTACATCATATTTTGTTGTGGCTTATTAAGCATGCACCAAAAATACTATGCGAACTTTAGACTGATGAAACTGGAATATGTTGTGTACAAATTAATGACGTACATCACTATAGTATCTGTGATACTGAAAATGTTACTAGGTTGGTGGCACACAAAGGTGAGCAAAATAAATGTGCGATACATTATAGTTGTACTGTACTGCATTCATGGTATACAAGTCATAAAATACAATTTCAGAACTAAATCATGCGTATAAATTGTAATTTTATCACATTGTTAATTTACATTTGTAGAAATTTAAAGTTTGTCTCAAAAAGATCTTTGAGATCGATGAAACGTTGCAACAGCTGGGACTGACGATGAATTATGACAGAATATACTTCATTGTGATTGGATACATAACTGTTTGGATCACATTTGTTTTGGTTATATGGACTATGATGTTCATTCACTTCCACAGAAGCACGGATGTATTTACTTCAATTTATCTGCTACTCATATATTCGTATTCGTTCATCGTCAACTCTATTAATATATTCGAATTCTTCATATTTGCGAAGTATGTAAATAAACTTTTTAAGAATCAAGAAATTTATGTACTTATTAGATTAGTATTCAAAAATTAATAAGTAAAAAATTAATAGTCGCTATTGCCTTGCTTAACTTCTTATATATCTTCTTATACATAATGTCAACATTGAAAGTTGTTTTATATTATTAAGTAATACTTTCTGATTTATTGTTCATTTCGCGAAGATAAGACATACTATCACTGATTTATAACATGCTTCTATACAATAATGCAGATGCTCACAAATAAAATTTAAATTGGTCAACCAACTTTTGCGCGAGAGCTTAACAGATTTATCCAAGGAAGATAAGAAATTAGGCATTTTTGACATGAAGGATTATGAGAGGATCATAGATGTCGAGCAACAAAAGCAAGTTTTTTCCACAAAGATGATATTCCGAAGGCGTCAGCGGGTGCAGACCGGAATTAATTTTTCTATATCGAAGAAGCGAGATCCGGTCGTATTTCAAACTGAATCTCACTTTCCATCTCATGTCACAAATCATTTTCAAAGCCTACTCCAGAATCCACGTCGAAGACAGAATACCACAATAAAAAAATGTCAAAAACCTAAACATCTTTTACAAGTAATCAGGTGAGTACAGGCAATTATTAAGTACGTTGGTACAAAGTAAACTCTGTAAAATAAAAATCTGTATATTACATATAAAATATAAAATATTGAAATAGATATTTATTCGGTATATTTCTTAGGTAAAAATCGATTTAAGTCAGTTTTGCCGTTAACGTATTTAAAAGTTGTAATTTTATGTAAACGCAAAAATATTCAAGTCAGACTTCTTAAAAAATTGTTGAGAAACAAAAGACAAGATTCAATAAAAATATTTCTGATTATCTTTAAGTGTTTTTAAGACAGGTACACCTGAAAGTGTGTAAAGTAACAAAAATAGTATCCACTATCTTTGGAGTACAAGTAGCTTGGGACATAGGAGTAATTATGATGCTTCTTATTATATGTCTTTATAATTTGTATACTCGATACATTATGAGCAAACACGATATAAAATATTTGACAGAACATATGTTTATGACGTTGTTAGTGTGTTCTTTTCACGTTATGAAAATCTTTACTCTGAATCGCGTTTGCAAGAATGCAGCTGATGAGGTAACTGATTTTATAGTCCACAATCGAATTAACGATCGAGATACAGTAACTTTTACATAACATTTATTTATAGGGGAACAGAACCGCTGAAATCATTCATTCGATTTATGGTTGCAATACAGATATTGATATAAAGGAAGAAGTTCGTTTTTTTCAATACATTATCATATAGTTGCTGCTATATAGTATCTAATTATCGTTTGAAACTGTTTCAGATTCAACAGTTTGGCCTTCAAGTTTTGCAAAGCCCAGTGACATTTTCTGCGTTTAGTCTTACTTTGGACAATCGTGTCGTAAGCATGGTTCGTATCAAATTGTTACATACTAGTGGTTATCGTTATATCAACCATCTTGACAAATAGGAAAAGATTTACAATTACAAACGCTAAATAATGTTCTCTTTACACTGTTTATAAATTGTGTGGAAATAAGTTTTATAAATTTATCCCGATCATATAACAAATGCAGTATATTTAACTTTTCTTTGTTATAGATTTTGAAGATCTTGACGACCTACATGGTTATCGTGATACAGATAGGCAATGAATTAGAATTGAATAATGCTATACCTCATGCACAAGTTTAAATAATTGTAGATATTAAATAATTAATTCATTCCAATAGCGCTACTGGCCCATATTCAGTCTTCACCTCCTCAAACTTCATCCTCTAAATACCCTCTTTATATGTATACGTTAACTTCCTGCAGTTTACTTGAAGAATATTCCTGGCATCTCTGTTAATATTATTTTCCTACCGTGTGATCTTGACTTCTTCTCGGGTTTTCTACCTCATGGAAGATTTCCACGAATCTTTTAGGGAATTCTTCCCTCTTTGCTGCATATGTCCCACACCATTAACCTCCTGCTACTTTGTACTTAACTAAGCTGAATAGATTTCTTCATTTAGGCAAAGGTTGACACTACTTTTGTGTCTATTTATTTCGAAAACAAGCCAGATGAAACGAATATAATTACTTGATTATTAGTCTTGAGTGTATTGCATCTTAATAGTATTGCATATTCTGCCAGCAATTATTTTCTTTGAGCACATATGGGTATTGTAGATCCCGGGTGGTGTCCTATAACATTACTAGTATTAAAGTAATAAAATGCGATTCCTATGCACACGTTTCTGCAATGAATTACTTATTGCTTCACTGGCATAGCTGACTTTATATATATATATATATATATAATATATATATAATCGTTTTAAAGGCCATCAGGCGGGGCTTATTTGCGCACGTTCATTAAGCATATCCGTGTTTTTTTATAATATTGCTAGGAACGCAAGTATGTTCTTTCGTCCATCGACGAAGGTGGATCATCGACTTGTGAACTAAAGGAAACGTAAAGTTCGAGAGAAGACAGTGAACCGCATCGATGTCCGACTTAATATAATCGTCAACCGTTCTCGCATGGATAGAGAAATACAACCCGTTGCGTGTTATTACACGTTAATCTAGTGTAAACATTAAAAATAGAAAGAGATAAACTTGATTAATGCTGAAAATTATACACAGACGTAATTAACATTAAAACATGCATGAATGAACAAATAAGCAAGTTGATCGGTTGAACGAATCTAAGATTTTTGACACCATCAAGAGAAAACGCGAAAATCGGATATCTTGTCCGAATAAGTGACAATTGAGACAATATCAGGCGTTAGAGATTCAACGAGATGAAGATCCTATTTGCGCGTCCTAAATATTTTTTTGAAGCGATAGCATGGACAACGACGGTCAATTGTATACTGGCACTTCGCACTTTTGAATATCCTCGTGGTAATCCAAGACCCATACTCAGCTTGATTTATCTCTTTTTTATTTACATTATATGTTGGACTGGCGCGTTGCGCGTGCATGACAAATACTATGCGAACGTTAGACTGATGAAACTTGAATATGTCCTGTACCAATTAGTGACGATTGTCATTATTATGTCTGTGATAATCAAGATGTTGCTAGGCTGGTGGTATACAAAGGTGAGGAAACAAAATAATGTACGGGATTTTATAGTTAATTCTATTGGGTTTGTATAAATTATAATATTGTCTCATTACGAAATGGCATTTGTAGAAATTCAAAACTTGTCACAAAAAACTGTTCGAGATCGATAAAACATTGCGACAACTGGGATTGACGGTGAATTATGACAGTGTATATTTCGTGACAATCGGAATCATATCTGCTTGGGTTACATTTGTTTTCGTTGTGTGCACCGTGGTTTTCATTCATTTACAGACCCGCACGGACGTACTTACTTCACTTTACTTTATATTGATAAGTATATATGCATTCGGTGTCCATACTATTAATATCTTCGAATTCTATATGTTTACAAGGTATGTGTATTGATTTTTTATACATTCCAAAAATGTATTTATTAGGTATATTTAATCCCAGCAAACACAAAGTAACAATTACATAACTGTAAGTTAAAATTTCCTACTCAACAATATAACTGTTACATAACACACGTGTTATATTACAGTTATATTGTTGAGTAGGAAATTTTAACTTACAGTTATGTTACTTTGTGTTTGCTGGGATAATTAATATGTGAAAAATAATTGCTAATATATTACTTAACGTAATTTATTACACGTAACGTTGACAGTGAAATGAAATAAATTAAAATTATCTTCCCTGTAATTTCGCCTTTATTATATATTATTCAGCAACAGATTCTAATTTATTGTTTGTTTCACGATGCTAAGAGAAACTATCACGTTAGTTATACAAGGTGAGTCTTTCCATATCCGACAAAATTTTTGAGAAGGTAGAACGGATCGAGATGAACGGAAAAGTCCTGTACCATTTTGCAATTTTCGTAATAGTTAACGAGTAATTAATTATTAAAAATCGTTGTCTTAGGCCGGCCTACCGCCCAATTCGAGCGCGTGGCAAGATGTGACCGCCTGGCGATCGATATTGCTATGCGCACATCTCGCCACGCGCTCGAATTGGGCAGTAGGC